GAACGCGCGTCACGCTTTTGATTTTTTCCCGAAAACCAGCGCAAAACTCTCATCCCCGTTTCCTCTTGTCACCGGGGTTCGACGATTTCTGCCAGAGCAGCTCGGTAGAGACCGGCGTTGATTAAAAAACCACGCTGGAACGCGTGCAAACGGTTCAATTTCCTACTGTGTTTTTTTTTTTCAAACGGCCGAGGAAGAAGTTTTGGTCGGAGTCGCGAACACGGTCGTGTGTTTCCTTTGCTTAGGCCCGGTGAATTCGCAGGTCGCTTTCTTCGCGTTCGAAATACGGCTCTTAATGAACTCCCGCTGGGCGGCTCGCTCGTTCCTGAGCATTGGGGAGGGAATCCCCGTGGAGTTCGTCATTACCAAATCAAAATTAAAGGCAAAGATCCGGAGAGAGAAGGGCACGACGTTCGTTCGGCTTATTAGTCGCGTACAGTACTGTATCCGAGCTAATGGATACGACGGGGATTGATACGGTTCAATCATCGGCCGAGGATACGAATTGCGTCTGAAACGGGCTGCTTCTGAGAGCTTTTGTATCAGTCCTTCTGTGTTGCAGGATCAAAGGCTTCTCCTCGATTTGCTACTTTACAATTTTTCCTTTCTGCAACGCTCTTTCGTCGTTCGGTTAACCCTTTGAGCGCGGTAGCTTTGGCGGTTAACGTGTAATAATTATTAATCAAATTAGCTGCATTACAAGTTCCATAGAATTTTCTCCTGCTTTAAAAAATTTTTCTAAGCTTCTTTCTATCCATACCACTTATGTCCCAATTTTCTCCTATTTCCAGAATTTCGTCCCACTTTAAAAAATGTTTTTCTTCAGTTTCCTAGGCTAAATTTTATCCGTACCTACTGATGTCCCGATTATTCTCAAATTGAGCAACTTTTAGAGTAAAAAAGTGGGGCGAAAGGAGGTATTGGTGTCTCGACACTTATAAAAGACGGTGTTGGTATATTTCACTACGAAACTGTACACCTAAAATTTCCGCGACGTACGAGTTAACAAAACGCAGCGTTACCATCCCGTTCGCCGGGGCTTAAGGGCTGAGGCTGTTCTCTGTTGGCAAGGGGATGTAGCGTTCGCTAATTATTCGCGACTAGGAAGCGCGGCCGTGGTGGAAAGCCGTAGGCACGCGTAATGAAATCCATGATGTATTAACGCGCGGTGTAAAGGCTCTGTGCACGCGTCTAGGTGTCTACTCACGCGAGGCCAGGTAAACGCGTGGCTAAACGCACGCGGGCGCGCGTAAACGCGCCACGCAAACGCTCCGTGGCTGAAACGTCGAAGATGGCGAGGCGCGCGCAACGCGCCGCGACGCCCGTAATATTCGGCTAATTGCAAATTTAATAACCCCCGGCTGGTTGTTGCCGGTTACGACGACGTCTAAGCGAATGGGCCACACCTTTCCACCCCCCCTACTAATTTCCACGGTTCCTTCTTCCTCGCAGTCGCTTCCTTCCACCCGGCAACCTTCTTTTTCTGCCCGTGAAAATGGTGGATTTTGACGAATGGCGATGCAAAGTCGAGGTGTGAAACGAAGAGCGATTCGTTTAGGGATTTTCGTATCGATTGTAACGTACAACGGAAACCTTCTTTTTCTGCCCGTGAAAATGGTGGATTTTGACGAATGGCGATGCAAAGTCGAGATGTGAAACGAAGAGCGATTCGTTTAGGGATTTTCGTATCGATTGTAACGTACATTCGTGGTAGTCCATATTAATGCGTAGAAAATGGTTTATTATCGTATCTCGAGTCTGACATGGGATCGCAAAGGGTCAAGACACTTGCTGAATGCGAAACAAACCTAAAGTGTTATTATCGAGTCCTTATCTTGCGATTTTTCAATTATTACGTACGTTAGCTTCGACTATTCACTGTTTCGATACGGTGTTAAATAAAACAGAAGCTGAAACGTTACGTAGAATTTTTATCAGTCAAATTGAAGCTAAATTTCACAATTCTGTTTTTCTCACATCTTCACAAAGCAAAGGATTATTCAGTCTACACACGATACCAGGCTTGGCAAAGAAACGTAATTAAACTCGTACGACACTTTTACTATCATCCGTCTTATTCATTGCACTCGTGAACCAAGGGATAAACGATGGAAATAAATTCCCGCGCAGTAACGTTTCACATCCGACGATTTCTGTCGATCCCCCCGTGCAATTCCTTTTTCACAAAGGTACCACGAACACGTCCTCGTACGACAGTGCATTCTTACATGCTTATTCACGTCTGAATCCAGTCCGTCGAGGAAAGGGGGGCAAGCACGGAACGGAGGCGGACCGACAGATACCCATCGACCGTCTTAATCGGCTCGTATTACCAATTAAAATTTAATTATCCTGGAAATTAAGTCGTTACGATATCGAAGACTCGCGCTTCAGCTGGATACGCGTCTATTATTCGAATACTGTTGGTCTGCGATCGTGGCCAGCGGGTGCAGGCAGGCAAGGCAATTCTCGCGTCCTTCGTACCTCGTATCTCTCCGTTGAATCGGCTTCTCCGTAAAATTTCGAAGCCTCGTAAAATTGGTCGCCGGACGAGCCATACCTAGAGAGGAGATACCGCGGCGCGTATTTCGTAGTGGGTCGCATCCAGAGGAAGAAGAGCCTTCTTCTCTCGCACCGTTCACCTCTCCGTGGAAAGGGAAACGACTCGTCGACATATAGAATAGTATATAAGCGTAAGCGAGACAAGGGACGGAGACAGAGAAAAGGAGAAGAAGAAGAAGAAGAAGAAGAAGAGAGGAAGGAGAGAGAGATCGGTGTTCTCCTCCATTCCGCTTAACGCGGCCGTAACTTATCGCTCGTAGACGCACGGTATTTCTCTCCGGCTCTTTGAAAGCATTTTCTCATTAAAAAATTAAGGTTCGAGGGGTCGAGAAGCGAGGAACGTTGGCTGGAGAGGCGGGGGTGGCCTCGAGGTCTCGCGGGTTCGCGGCTGTTGCAAGAGGAGTGGGGCGATTTGCGGCGGGGGTGGTCGGGAGGGTCGGTAAGTGCTCTGCGGCTCCCAGATGCGCCCAATATTATGTTTAATGATATTAACTTCTTACTTAATGGTCCGCGGTTCGATTCGAGGTGCGAAGAGAGGGCGAGCCGGGCCGGGCCCCCTCTCTCCTTCCGTCCACGAGGCCCGCCGACGACCTGAAACAAGTAGACGAAGAGAAAAAAGGAAACTATACCCGGGAGGATAATTTGCGGGACGAGGAGAAGAAACGTCGAGTACTCTTGAAGGAAAATTTTCCGTAGGCGACCTAGGGGAGGGTATAATCGTCCGGGAAACACCCATTTCCCGCCTGCCTTCTGGTCTTGCCGAGGAATAAATTCGTAAATATGCCCGGTCACCGCTTGTCTCGCGGTAAAAACTCTCTCTACGACTCTTGGACCGTTTTCTCGGTCATTTTTGCGAGGGACGATAGTGAACTTATCCCATTTTTAGATACCTACTTACACTACCGGCCGAAAGTTTCGAATCACTGCAGACAAATTTGCAGAAAAGAGTCAGCGACTTTGAGAACCTTTCATCGTTCGAATCAATTGATATGAGATAAATCGATGAAAGCAGAATTCAGATAACCTTCAAATCTATGAAAAATTAGCAGCAGATTTAATACTGATGACAAGTGGGTGGTGAATCCAAACTTTTGGCCGTATGTACAAAGGTATCGTCTTGGAGAATTCTCGACTGTTTCGCGTTTAACTTGAGATTTTTAATCTTGCAACTCGTACGATGTTACAATTGTCACACCGTTTACGAAAGACACCAAACAGGTATCTCCTTTCCAAGCTCCTTGGTCCCGCGAGTTTCTCGTGTTACGTCGCCGATTCGAAAGCGACTCCTTACTCTCGCGAGAGACTCTCGGTCGCCACCTCTCCGTGTTTTCGTTCTTTTATTTTTCCTCTCCCCTCCTGCCTTTCTTCGTTTCCTCGAATGTTCGGCTTTACGAGGGCCGGGCTCGTTAAGCTACACCAGCCCAGCCTTTATGCCCCAACACCGCGAAACTTTTAATCTTGCCCCTGCTGCTATATTGTTCGTGGCGCGGTAGCTGCCCATGAATCGTTAACATTCGCTCACGTTCTCCGAACCTTGTCGCCTTAACCCTTTCAGTTACGTTTCATCGTGGATCGATCTCGAGCTCGAGAGCTGGAGGAACGTTTCGTTGGTTTTTTTGGGAATGAAACGGTCGTAGATAGTCGTAAGTCGATTTAAGTGCATTAACTGAAATGCTTTCACGCACGACAGGATCGTGCCTATTATTTAACCAGCATATTTCTGCACAATTTCAACCCTTTGCACTCGGAGATCTTTTTGCTGCCGGAAAGACTGCAAATCGTGTTTGAAAGTTTTTCAAATTAACGTAGAATTAACAAATTTACCCTCTGTTTCGATGAGTTATTTAACGTCGCTACTCAGTCGCCGCTCGATTGCAAAGGGTCAATCCTACGTAATTACCGTGAGCGCATAAAACGCATCTCTAGCAACGGCCTTCAAGTAAACACAACGAAGTTAATCATACTCGCCGCAACTTCTACGTAAAACGAAGTCACACCTAATTTCCCTCCTCGTCGTTTGAACAGAAATTTCAACATCCTGCCATTCCACGCGTAAAATAAAGAAAAAAAAAAAACGGCAAAATCGGGGAGCAGTTAAACTCGACAGAAGAGGCGATTCCCCGGTGAAGACGATGCGCGCGACAAGTTCTCCAGCAGGGTGGAAAAAAAAGGAGCGAATCGATTAACGACGATAATCGGATGGAACGTGCGGCGTAAAGAGAGACCGGCACTTATCTTCCTACGCGGTCGGTTCGCTCGACGACTAGAATAATTATTTAATTAATGCCCAAGCTCGAGTCTCGAGTCCACCTCCGCTTGGGCGAAACGATTCCCATCCACTCTTCCTCCTCCTCCCACCCCCACTGTGTGTTCCCCACACACCCCCTTGTGTTCGAATCGATACTAAAGCTTTTCCCCGTCTGGTTTGCTGGTTGCAGGCTCCGCGAGGAGAGAGGAGACGCCGAGAGGGTACTCGCGTTGGACCAAAAACCCAGGGATCTGAGCTCGCACAATGGTAAGATAAATACGCGTACGCTCGTTTACCGTAATTACAGTAATCGGTCGATAATACGGCGAATAACGCCGTAGTCGTATTATGGGCCCGAGTACTATTACGCGCCAGACCGGACGGTGCATCCTTCTTTCCCCTTAGATCGTTCTCTCGTGATCCGAGGCCGTCGCGAATCGATGCAAGTGTATAATACGTACGCTATCTCTCTCTCTCTCTCTCTCTCTCTCTCTCTCTCTCTCTCTTTCTCTAGGCTGTGCCCTCGCTGTTAGAGAAGAATGCATCGTGTGTATGGGTACACTTTCTTTCGATAGACGGCTGAGAGGAAGGATGACCTCTCTAGCTGCTAGGATATTTTCGTGAATTCGCAATTGCATTGGATTTTTCATGTTTTACCGTGTGTTTCTCTTCGTGGGTCTGTGGACTTTCTAGTGGAGGTAGAGTGATCTTGGAGACAGGGTTAGAAACGCTGACTGATTGGTAGTTATTAGCAGTGATATGATAAAGTAGGACTGAGTACCGGCCAGAAGTTTGAGATCACTGTGCATTGCAAGTTACGTCAAAATTTCCGGAAAAAAGTTAGCAATTTTAACACATTAAGGACCGCTCACGAGTTTTCTCGTGCTGCGTGCCCCGTCTGTTACGGACGGATCACGAGACAAACCCGTGTTTTCTACACGTTGTCTTTAGATGTCAATTACTTTGATACATTGTATCTACTTTGTCCATTTAAGTGTTTACATCAATAGTCAATGTATTAACCGTTTTCGTCTCATCCACACCGAAGAGATCAATCCCATTGGTGGAAACCGTACAGGTCAAGCTATGAAAGACTGTATAAATGCACGAACCCGAAATAAAAACAGCTTAGTCTCAGAGAAAATTCGACACGTTGCATTGCATTTTGGTGATTCGAATAGTCTTCGTCTTCGAAGCGAATCAAGATATATATGTAAATTTTGTATGGTTCCTCTTCATAGAGAAAAATCTTTCACGCAATATCATACTTTAAAAAAGTACTAGAAACTTTGGTAAAATTGATTTTTAAATAAAATTTTATGATAATTATTAAAAACCAATTTTTTTTAATAATTGCCTAAAATACATCCTATTTTACAATTTCTAAAAATTTCGTAAAAATTTATTTTTTAAGTAAAAAGGTTATGATAATTATTAAAAAACAATTTTTTTTCAATAATACCTAAGATGCATCCTATTTTACAATTTCTGAAAGTTTCGCAAAAATTGCTTCATAAATAAAAAAGTAATGAGGATTTTAGTAACGTGCAAGCTTGCCCAAAAACGTGCGGTCCTAGGCGTATGTCTTATAGATTTCTTAGCGGTCCTTAATGTGTTAAGAACTGTTTAACGAATCTTTTATAATTTCAATTAATCTATCGATATCTACAACATCATATCAAATCTATAAAAAATTGGCAGCAGATTCAATATCGAAGTAAATCGACAAGTGACTCCAAATTTTCGGCAGTGTACATATAGAGACACGCGAGTTGGTAGAAGGAAAATTGTCCTGCCGTTTTAGGGAGTCTTTTGCTAATTGCTATGATTTATATTATACCTCCTCTAGGAATTTTAACTTACAATAGAGTGGAAACAATGATTTGTCGTAGGCACAGCAGCCCTCTAGCATTTGCCGCTGAAGGAATCGATAGGCTAGTCACTCAGCGTCTCTTTTTATCATGTTTCGTATACACCCCGACAATTTCAGATCGATATCGAGAGAACTAACAGAGTCACGATGATTGGAACGGAACAGTGTCGCATAAGATCTCACGAGCTGTCGGTCCCTTGAAAATCAGAAACTTACTTCTCTAGTGGGCGATAGATCAAGATTCGAATTGGTCTACGCGTCCCTCTGTCGCGAGGGTTCGATCTTCGTTCGAAAAATGGAAAGAGAGGCAAGGCTCGAGCGGGCAGGCCACGAAGGAAGACGAGAGTTAACCGAGCGTGGTCTGCTGCTCCGGGGAGACCAGTCCTTTTCTCGATTTCTTTATTTCTCTGGGCCCGAACGGAGCGTTTAGGCTCTGTCGGAGCAGAGATTAAGTCCGATATCGGGTTACGGGGTACGCGCCGCGGCTCCGCCTTTCTTCTCATTCCCCGTAATATTTTAATCCGTTCTATCGAACCTTTTATCCTGCTGGCGAGCAGCCACCTTGCCCCTCTCTCGACTGGCGACAAACTCGACGTTTCGAGTTCGAATCCGATCGTGTTCTTTTGGGCCCCACGGAACCTCTCTTCAGAGTGTGTGTGAGAGAGAGAGAGAGAGAGAGATGGGGGCCAAAAGACGACGTGCTTAATGAAGCGCGGCCTACCGGTGCACCGCGACTTTCGTCGATGCTTGCTCGAGAAGAAGCTTTCGAGCGATGCGTCATTCCACTCGGGAAATTTCCTTCGCCAAACAGTATCTATCCACGTCAGGATTAAAATGCTAGGATATCAAATACGGAGGGGCCGACCGCTCCTTTTAGTCTAAACAGAAACACGCGAGGGCAAATAAGATCCATCAATTATTATCGATCACGAAGGGTGTACTCGATCTGTTTAATCGTAATCCTTCGTTCGATCTTAAGGTACTGCCAAAGACTTCGCCAAAGATTGATTTAAAACGGAGAATTTCATGTGTACTTCTAGGCAGACGAGGATGGTCGTTCTTAACAGTCGGATGATGAGAGGATTTTTGACCAACAAATTTCTTTACCTTGTTGGCCTTCAAATTTTCTTTAGTGACATTTGCTAAATTATCGCGAATTCGCGAAGTATCGCTTTCAGTGACATTTCTTTTCGGGTTACTTTTGACCCACGAATGTCCTTACCACCTTGGCCTTTAAATTTTCTTTAGTGACATTCGCTAAATAAATCGTGATACATACTTACAATATAGCCTAACATAATTCTTTATGATTTTCTCGGGTTTCTCTTGGTCCAAAGAAGCTGGGTCAATTTTGACCCACCTTGGTCGTCCGACTGTTAAGAAACATTCCGAAGATCCTCGATTGTAAATTACGCTGGTAAACTTGGACATTGAACAACGTGTTGGCAGGTTCCTCGAACGGCCACAGTCCCGTGCTGAACCTGTCGAAGACGGCGGGGAGCGGAAGCGTGGGCGAGCACTCCGGAAGCGAGGCAGAAGTGTCCCACCGTTCGCAGGACGACGACGAGGAGGACGACAATCTGTCCGAGGACCTGGACGACGACAACGAGAAGGACGAAGGTGAGAATGGTGTATCGGTGGTGAAAAAGAGCAAAAGGAAGTGCACGGGGGAAAAACGAGCGATCCTAGGGCGTCGATCGATACGTCCACCGTACACGATACGTCGATCAATTACAGGCAGGTAGAGCGTGACGGTGGATTTGACGTGTGCCGAAAGTTGAAACGATGTTGCCCGTTCCGCGGCCACGCATACGTAAAATAATTATATCGAATCGAGCGGACAGACCGCGTTTAAAGATGAGTTCCCCGGGACGACTGGTAGGTCAGACCTTCTCATCGATCATCTCGGCTCGCCGCGGAACGACGTTCTCTGGGATTCGTCTTCCATACGCTGGTGCCGAACGACCTCTCTCTCTCTCTCTCTCCTTCTCTCTCGGCTCTTCTTCTCCTCAGCGGTTGTCAAAACTTGTCAAGCCGCTGCACGCTGAAATTTTCACCGGCAGGCGTCCGTGATTTCGCCTTATACGCGCGCGTTCAACCCCTTCATCTCTCCATTCCACTTCTTTTCTTTCCATCCTCCTTTTCGAGTAGACACACCGGCGACGTTCAACGATGCAGCAGTTTTTCGAAAATTTTTGAGAATTTGTCGAATAACAGATAGTGTGACATTTTCGCGGTGTTTTGTAATTTTCGAGGCATAATTGTTTGGGAATTATTCTTGTTTTTTGTTTACGCAAAGGTCGAGCGGATCGATTTGTTCGTAATTGAGATCGTTCTAAAGAGATTCGCGAGGAGAGAAGCACCACTGGCGGCGAGGCCCGTTGGTCGTTAGACTCACATCTTCGGTATTTAGTTTCATTTTAATAATGAAAGATGGGTTCAGATAAAAATCTCGGCCCGTGCTCCGTGCTGCTATCTCCCGGCTGTCCCGCCGCTTCGATGCACCGAAGCGTCATAATCGCGGTGATTTCTAATCGATTCGCCGATTGTCCGCGCGCCACGCGTTAATTGGATATTCCAATTAGAGCTGGCGACTCCTCGCCTCGGATGGCGAGAACAGAAAAGGACGTCTGTCTCCTCGTACCAACCTCCTCCTTCCTTCCGACCACGAGCAGAAACTGGCGGAAAAAATTTCTCACCTCGTAGAGTTTCAAGTTCCAGCTCTCGAGAAACATGACTGGAACCAATTAGATCGAAATCGTGTTCTTCGAGAACACCAGTTGGAAAGTAGTTTCAACCTGAAAATTGAATAAAATTAACACAGTAACGTCTAACTTGTCTCTTTGAACGGTACATTTGAAAGAAAATTTGACGGTTGCTTTTATTTGAATAAAAATAGTGACTCTGTCGCAAGGAGACGTATAAGAAGTGACCGGCAGCGAAAGAATCGAGGGTTTCTCACCTCCGGCGGACTTGAGAATTCCAAGGCTCGTAAAACACGAGTGCAAGTAAGAGATAAGTCAAAGACCGCAGGCTGGGAAGGACGAAGATTAGAGGTCATCGTTGGTACAGTATCGAATTAGTGGGCCCCTAAATTTCGGGAAAGACACGAGTTAGACGTATAAATTGTGGTGGTCGTGTAGCATAGGGAGGTCGAAATCCGTGTCTCGCAGCGTGTCGTACGGATCGGCTACATCCTACCTACGGTGCTCGCGGGTGATCGAAGTAGAACCCCATCGAACGCCCGTGGGAGTGTACACGCCCGTGGAATGCAGTTCTGATTTAACGAGACGCGCCGCTATCTCGCTCTGGTTCCCGGAATCCGATCTACCCGCGATCCTCTTATTCCTTTGAATCTCCACTTCCTGGAGATTTCGTACCTACCCCCTCTGTCATTCGACCGTGTTACACCGACCTCTGTACGGAGTTGGCCCTTGGCCTGCGACGCTGATAATTGTAATGGGTTTCGACGAAGGACACACCGGGCGGCAGAGGAGAAATCGAGAGGAATAAGGTGGAAAAAAGGAGAGAGAGTGTCCGCTATCAAAAGGTGCCGGCGGATCGAGGAGAGGCGCGCGAGCATTAAATCGGCCAATGGCAATAAGTAACCCGAATGCCGTGGCGTTGTAGGTGCGCGCTGATAATTAAAAGACGATACAATAAAGCACGTATCATTGGCCATAAAGCAGCCGCGCCGGCTAAAGCCCACGGTGTGGGCCGTAGCAGCGCGGACTGGTCACTTAAGCCCCGTAGAACCCACGCAGACGTCTTGTCTCGCCACTCTTGGCCAACCTCTTCGGCAATAACCATAAGGCATCCTTTATTCCGGCGATCCTTTGGTACCTTCGATGTTTCAGGACCTTCTTCCTTCCAACTGACCGCTACGACCACGAAAACCATGCTTCCAGGCTAATCGTCGATAGAGAGAGAATGAACGAGGCTACTCCTGCCTTTTTTCCCCTCTTTCGACAGATCACTGTTTGTCGCACGACCTCCACAAAGAGAGAGAGAGAGAGAGGGGGGGACGTATTATAGATAATGTGGTTCGTGGAATCTCGAGGGTTTTCCCTGTAAAAATTTCAGCATGGTGGCAGGGGATAAATCGCACGGCTGGAAACGGACGACAATTCGGTGTTCAACCGGGGTGGTACAAGACGGCCTGGGCTAATCGGAGAGTGGCCGTTTAATTCGCGAATTTAATTCGTCTGTAGTGACGTTAAATCAGAGACGTGGCGAAGGGTAACAAGTAGTCGTCGCGGGATTACGACTCTGGAACACGCACGCGTTGTAAGTCGCATGGAAAAGAGAGAGAGGTCAGACCTCCCTCGAACGTTGTTCCACACGATCCTTCCGCCAAATTTATCGCCGACGCGTCTCCTCCTCGGCCTCGTATGTATACCTTGCCGGACAAAAAATCCCGGGGAGCCGTGCGCTAATAGGCGAGCAGCTCTCGTTGCTCGCCAAGGATGTGCTCGCGTGTCCGATTATTATAAGCACCGATGGTCCTGCGATTCCTCGCGGACAACCGTTTTAAACGGTTCCCAATAGCCACCGAATAGTAGGATAATCACCGCTTTCAATTAATCGCCAAGTTATTCCGAAGCGCGTTTCATATGGAACACCCTGTACTTATGTAAAAGTTCGAGGACCGCAAGTTACTTGTCTAAAATATGAACGAGTCGTAAGATCGATCTGGCTTGAAAATTGCTCCAAAGAAATGTGAGAAAGTAAGGACTCGAAACTTCACTCGCAGACTGTACCAATCTGAAGCACTTCTTCGAAGCAGTACGACGAAAGAGAGAAACCTAAGGACATCGTCCAACTACATGCCGCGTGTGTCTGTTTGTTTCAGATCTGTCGGACGTGCCGGAGAACCTGCCGATGCCCGCACCGGGCTCGGAGAGTCCCCAGGCCCTCAACTACTCGCAGATCGCGTCCGCGGCGGTGGCCGTTTCACAGGGGGGCCAGGATCCCTCGGTCTCGAGTACGGAGACCCTGCTCAGGAATATCCAGGGCCTGCTGAAGGTCGCGGCCGACAACGCGAGGCAGCAGGAGAGGCAAATCAACTACGAGAAAGGTCAGTGGCGCGGACGGTTTCTTAAGACACACCATCGCTCGAGGCCGCGCTCTCCACAATTTCATTATCTACCTTGGCTCTTTCTCGTCGGGGCACATTAACAGGCATTAGTCCGTTTCCATTCTTTTCTCTCTTTCTCTCTAACAATAACAAGGACTGTCACAGGTCGCTTTCTGCGTCTCTCAGGTAGAACTGAACAGCGTTTTAGGATCCGCGGTAAAGAGTAGCAACTTAGGCGGTGTCCGACCGCTGTAATTTCGCCACGAACTAGCTTCAACGTGTTGTTACTCTTTCGTTCCTAGCCTGTTCACCGGTGAAACGTGTTATTTCGATGGAATTTCATATTTGAAATTAGCGCAACAGTTGCGAGTTGGAAACGAGAGAACGAGATTAAGGGATGACTAAGGTTGGCTTCTTAGACGCGTTCGTTCTCATTAAGCAGGTGATAGATCGGCGCGAGCGTTATTATTAAACGCGTCCGGCGCAGAGCGTTTGAAGAAACGGGAAACGGCCCGGCCGGGGGAAAAAGCGAGGAGAGATTAAGCGGCGTTTAAGTCGCGTTTCGATGGAAATCGTCCGGTCGTTTATTCCAGATCGATCGGCCGGATCTTCCTCTCTAGGCGGCGTAATTGCTCACCTAAGAGGATTCGTTTCGACGTTCCTACATCATTGCTCGCGGTCGGCTAATTACAATTAACGAAGTGTTATAATATACGAACGTATATTATGTAGAACTGGTTTAATCTTAAAGTGTGCTGCATCAAGAATTGCACTTGACGTGGCGTTCAAGTGATATAGGGACCGACAAAAACTTTGGGACCATTGATTTTGCGATTCGTGAAAGAAGAGGTTCGATTTACGAGCAGGTTTAATATTGACATAATTATAGACGAATGGTCCCAGTTTTTTACCGACAGTGCAAAATTTCAATATAGCTGTTTCTCCTTTCCTCTGAAACGTTCCAATAGAAGTTTCACTGACTTTTGCAAGGCGTATGTGTTCTTCTGTGGATGCAGAATTTAGTAACGGTGTGACCCACCGGTGGGTCATCGAAAGATGCTCCTGTTTGCCGACACGGTGGGTCACACAAACACGTACATTTAACGAATGAAAAGATTGAACGATAATAAACACTCGGGTGTTAATCCATCCTGGCCCCACATTTCGAGGACCAGGCGAATTCACGCTGTCGCGTAGAAGGCCACGCGACGCGTAATATATTCCATCCGAAACGTACAGTCCGGCCTTTAATTGCCCATTAACCACGGTACAAAGTGTCGTTTCCACGGTCGTCAGCTAACGCGCGCGTTCACGGCGCTTAACGACGCTCCTGCTGCAGCCGGAGCACAACGTATGCCTGCACCACCACCGCCGGATCCGGCGTTTTTCCACAGTGGCGAAGGAGAAAACCGGCATTCTTCCGTTAGTATCTCTGGGCGGCGATCGGCTCGCGAGTAGGAGGAGGGAGGAGGCCGTCCTTTGTTCCGCGTATACTCGACGACCGGCCGATTAAGCCGGGACTTTAACGCGAGAGGACGTTTCGCGTCCCCCGGAGCCTCGGCGTCCACGGCGACGAGTTCATCTGCGGCACGTCGCGACGTCGAAGCCGGCTTAACGTGGATTCCTCATGTCCACCGGCGTACAGAGTATAAAGCTTTCCTCCTTCACGAGCGTCGACCGAGAGAGAGAAAAGGAGGAGATAAAGCAGAGCGGAGTCGGATAAAGGGGCCGATTCGAAGCGAGGATGCGCTCCGGAATGATCGAACGAGAAGAAAAGAGGAAGAGAAAAAGAGGGCGGCGATCGACGAGAGGATCGACGAAAAGAGAGTAGACGAGGGTGGGCAGGGAGGCACGGGGGTGAGAGAGGGCCGATTTAATACTCGAACGAGCCAGCAGCTCGTTTTACACCAGATGGTTTTACATACGGCCGCTATCGTGTTACCGAGCTCCTCCGTATGGCTGCGTGGTCCGCGCGGCCTAATACGCGCGGACGCGCGAACACGAGCGAGGCCCACAGTGCCGCCGTCGCCGTCGCGGCGACCGTTGCTCTCTAACCCTGTGGAGAGCCGGACTTCTCTACTCCCCAACGGAGAACGTTCTTAGCGAAATTGATAGAAAAGCCGACGTTACAACATTCTTCACCGTTTTACCCTTCGATTCAATCCTCCGTTGCTACCCGTTGAAAGCCTCCTTCTTGAACCAGGCGAACCCTAAATACACCGAGGAGACCGAGGAGAAACATGGAAAGAAATCGTCTTCGTTAAGTCCCCCGCGAACGCACGATTAATCAGACAAAGAGAGAAAAAGAAGAAAGGAAGAAGAGGATACTCCGTCTCGTTCGCTCGGTAAGTTACACGCCGCGCGGAGGAGAACAATATGAGCTCGCCGGATGCTGGCGAGCAGCTCGCTATCTTCGATGCTCGCCGAGATAAGGGACGAAGGGGAAGCCACGGCGGGAGCGCAAAGATTCTGCTCGCCTCTTCCTTCGTGTCCACTGCACGATCCTCTCTACCACCGCCACGCAAGCCTGCGTAAAAACACACATACACATAGAGCAAGAGAGAGACGGTATAAGACTGGTGGTAGTCGCTTAAGGCCCGCCGAGAGAGCGGAATAGAAAGAGGGGATTGAGTTGTAGCCGCGAGTGGAGGATCTTATGTAGATTCCTTGTAGATCGTGCACCCGATTCGATCGCGATCGGCTACCCGGTACCGGGTTAATTAAAATTGTACGGGCTGGACGTCTTTCTTTCTCGTTGATTCTCCTCCTCCTCCTCCACCTTCTCTCTCTCTCTCTCTCTCTCTCTCTCTCTCTCTTTGCTTTCGTAGATCCTCTTGAGCGTGTTCTCTCCTCCTTTGTGTCCTCTCCGTCTGTACCTCGCTGCTGTTCCAGTGTCGCGCCGTCTTCCCTCACCCTCACCACCCCCGTTTCGCATGCTTTTCTTTTTTCCGTTGGGTGGTTCGAACGGAGTAGCAGCACGCTGGCTGCATGCACGGGCCGGCGGCGCATCTCGCTCCGTAAGCTCCTTCGATTTTTGGCCGCTGCCTGGGAGGCTGCTTACGTGAAATCCTATTACCGCGAGCCACGCTGCGCGACAGAGCAACTACTCCACTCTCTGTCTTTCTCTTGCTCGCCGTGCAGGAGATTCCTCGTGAACCGGGATAGGGAGGAGACACGGCTACTGAAATGCGCCTGTTGCCGGATGGGTAGTTTGCGGTGGATGAAAGGTAGGATGTGATAAGTACGAATTGAAACTTCTTGAAACGACGAGCGAGATGTACAGTTCGAGACTACAATTATTGCAAGTTAGACAAGAAATTTCCGAAAATCTCTCGTTGCCCAAATTTGACAATTTGAAATAGATTGAAAGAATTGGTAGCAGTGGTTCGAAGAAACTTTTGGCCGGCACTGTATGTCCCCACCTCGAAACCTCGCAGTCATCCTGATCGAACACAACATCCACAATTTGTATCATATATTCTACCACACGAGGGCATTCTTGAACGCAGATGTGAAGCTACTCCCCGGGAGAATGACTTAGTAGTCCCAACCACGATGCTACCTAAAGGATCTACACGATCTCTCTCGGTTCCCCACCTACCCACAAATAGAAGAACAGGAGAGTCAGAAGCTGAACAAAACGACGAATACCCCCTAAACGACTTACGATTTCGTCCTCGGTTCACCCGTTCTCCACCGGCGTGTTCCACGGCCTCCCTTCGATTCTTCCGCTCCCATTCGCGAGCGTCGAATCGACGGTGAGGATCATTAAACGTCCGCAACCTGGCGCAGGCTACCTTAAAGATCGTCCCCGGGTCGAAGGTCGCGGTGCTGCGAGCGCGCGAACAACCGACCGCGGCGATTATTATGCTTATTAAGGTGGAAAGTAATAAATTACACCGAGCTAATAGCGGGGACCGTGAGAAGCGGCGGGACGAGGCGGGGAAAACGCAGCTGGAAGAGAAGAAGCTTCTTCTCGATCTTCTTCTGGTACATCGTGTATAGATCGATTCGTCGAGGAATCCTCTCGTTCGACCACTGAAAACAAAACCTTCCCGTTCTTTCGATCCCTGACTTTGGTCGAACGATGTTTAGGTATCGCGAGTAGGAGGGTGGCAACAGTTTCGTAGGCAATAAAGCTGTTCCGTTCTTAATTAAATCCAAGACGAGCTAATTAAAGCAAACATCCGACGCGACAACCTTTGTGAACGTTGATCTTAGAACGACGTCCTGGAAGAAGGGAGAGAAGCAGTCGTAAAAAGAAAGCTCGTGTTTCGCGAGTTTAACCGCCTTCTCTTACACCTCCCGATTCAATTATAGTTGGAAATTTTTTTTTGATCGTTGCTATCGATCTGGCTGTTGGTAACGAGCAGCATGGAAATATCCGTTCTTCTCTCTACCTGTGTGTACACAGCGCGGTAGGAGAGGGTAGAAAAGTGGTCGAAGGAAAGGGACGAAAAAGGATGGTGGCGACTGGTTGCTTGGCGAACGACGGATACAGACAGGGAGGAAAGGAAAAAGGAAAAAACGAGCGTGGCATCGATACACGTGTGCGTACATAGTTTGCGCGATAATGGCCGCTCCGCAGGCCGATATAGAGATAGCGTTGCTCGCGCGCGACCAACAGGGGGCGGAGGGTCGTTCGCTGGCAGGGTTAAGCGTAAATCAATCAGGTGAGGCTTGGTCGAGGAGAAGCAACTGGTCGGTCTTCTGGGAGCCTCGTGGCGAACGACTGGACTCCACTTAGTTTGTGTTTGTATAATGAGAATTGATAATGCAGGATGGAAAATTGAATCGGAACTATCTTTCTTCCACCGAATAGACGGGGAGAGAAGAATTATTCGCTGGATCTTAAGGCACCGTGAACTATAGCAAAACTGAATAGAGAATTTCAACCGTCGTTTCAATCGATCGTGATACAATGGAAACTTTCTTTCTGTATCGAAGACGAAAAGATGAGATTTATCGGCGAGATGTTGGAATCGAGAGAACGAGGGGTG